TGTCTGGAGAGGGAATTAAAGTTGATACTCAGAAAATTGAGGCAGTGCAGTATTGGGCTAGACTCACATCTCTAACCAATATTAGGAGTTTCTTGGGTTTGGTTGGCTATTATAGAAGGTTTGTAGAGGGCTTCTCATCTATTTTATCCCCTTTGACCAAGTTAACTCAGAAGACAGTGAAGTTTCAATGGTCTGAAGCTTGTGAGAAAAGCTTTCAGGAATTGAAAAAGAGGTTGACTACTACCCTAGTTTTGACATTACTAGAAGGTACGTAAGGCTTTGCTGTCTATTGTGATGCGTCTTGAGTTGGTTTGGGTTGTGTGTTAATGTAGAATGGCAAGGTTATAGCTTATGCCTCCAGATAATTGAAAGTTCATGAGACGAATTACCCAACCCATGATCTAGAGTTGGCTACTGTAGTGTTTGATTTTAAAATATGGCATCATTATTTATATGGTGTTCCTGTCGATGTATTCATTGTTCACAAGAGCCTTTAGTATGTGTTTACTCAAAAAGAGCTTAATCTCAGACAAATGAGGTGGTTAGAATTACTCAAGGATTATGACATAAGTATTCTTTAACACCCAGATAAGGCTAATGTCATTGCTGATGCTTTAAGAAGATTGTCTACGGGTAGTACCACCCATGTTGAGGAAGAAAAAAAAGAGTTAGCGAAACATGTGCATAGACTTGCATGCTTGGGAGTCCGACTAATGGATTCCACAGAAGGAGGAGTGGTGGTGATGAATGGGGCTGAATCATCATTAGTGTCAGAAGTAAAAGAGAAGTAAGACCAAGATTCAATTTTGCTTGAATTGAAGGCAAATGTTCATAAGAAAAAAGTATTGGCTTTTGAACAAGGGGGAGATGGTGTATTGAGATATCAAGGTAGATTGTGTACCAAGAGTGGATGAACTCCAACAGAGGATTATAGAGGATACTCATAGCTCCAGATATTCCATTCATCCGGGTTCCACAAAGATGTATCGCGATTTGGAAGAGGTTTATTGCTGGAGTAGTATGAAGAAGGACATTTCAGAGTTTGTTGCTAAGTGTCCGAATTTCGAACAAGTTAAAGTAGAGTACCAAAGACCAGGCGGTATGGCTTAAAATATAGAATTTTTGAAATGGAAATGTGCGATGATTAATATGGATTTCATCACTGGTTTACCAAAGTCTCACATGCAGCATGATTCTATTTGAGTTATTGTCAATAGAATGACAAAACCAACCCATTTTTTTTCCCGTAAAGAGCACCCATACAACAGAGGACTATGCCAAGTTGTATCTTCAAGAAGTTGTTAGACTTCATGGAGTTTCGGTCTCCAATATTTCAAACAGAGGTGCGCAATTTACTGCACAGTTTTGGAAGTCATTCCAAAAAGGCTTGGGTTCAAAGGTGAACTTAAGTACTGACCTTTTCATCCTCAGACAGTTGGGCAAGCAGAGCGCACTATTCAGACCTTAGAGGATATGTTGAGGGCTTGCGTGATTGATTTCAAAGGTAATTGGGATGATCACCTACCTCTCATCGAGTTCGCTTATAACAATAGTTACCACTCTAGCATCTAAATGGCTCCTTATGAAGCTCTTTATGGGAGAAGATGCAGATCTCCTATTGGATGGTTTGAAGTTGGTGAAGCAGGGTTGATAGGACCAGATTTAGTTCATCAAGCTATGGAAAAGGTGAAAATGATTCAAGAGAGGTTGAAAACGGCGTAGAGTCGCAGAAATCCTACACCGATGTTAGGAGAAAGGAGTTAGAGTTTGAAGTAGATAATTGGGTATACTTGAAAGTTTCACCCATGAAGGTGTTATGAGATTTAGTAAGAAGTGGAAGCTTAGTCCCCGGTATATTGGCCCTTACAGAATATCGAAAAGGGTAGGTAATGTAGCTTATGAGTTGGAGCTACAACAAGAGTTAGTCGCGGTTCATCCGATCTTTAACATCTCCATGTTGAAGAAGTACATGGGTGATCCTTCATTGATCATACCAACTGCAGATATTAGCATCAAAGATAGTTTATCTTATGAGGAGATTCTGGTTCAGATTCTAGATCACCAAGTTCGCAAGTTGAGGACTAAGGAAGTAGCATCAGTCAAAGTCCTTTGGAGGAACCAATTTGTTGAGGAAGCTACTTGGGAAGCTGAGGAAGTTATGGAGAAGAGATATCCACATCTCTTTGAAATCGGAGAAGTTCCAGACCAAGGTACTAATTCCCTTCTTAGTACTCATTCATTTATAAGTTAGCATGTTGTAATTGCATTTGCTTGTTGGGTGTTTGAGCTGAATGTTACATGTTACGCCCTTAGCCAACTAAGATTAAGCTCATTTGAGGATGAACATTTCCAAGGGGGAGATATTGTAACACCCCGTAACCAGAAAGAACTAGAAAGAAGTTAAAAGTGGAAATAGTCATTTTTGGAAAGAATATAAAAATCTCGAAAATTTGTCAAGTATGTTAAGTTGGATTTTTGGTCAACTTCAAACAACCATAACGTCTGGCTCAGGATGAGTTACGTGTGTTTCCAGATATCGTAGGAAATATCTTGGAACAATCTTTCCAACGCCGCTGAGTTTGTGTGATTCCGAGTTGGTATGAGTGAGATATGCCTATTTGAAGTTGGGTTGTTCAAATAAGGAAAGTCTAATCCGGATTTTAGAAGGGCATTATGGTCTTTTCCTTACCAAATTATTTTATTTCATTTTTGGGTAATTAATTAGGGTCAAATCAGATTTTAGTCAGTTTAGAAAAGTTGAAGATCACGCTAGGGCTTGGAGAAAAGAGAAAAGAGGAGAAATGAGAAGAAAGTTCAAGATTCGTCATCTTCGTACGAAATCAGTTGTGGATTTCGTAAAGGGGTGATCCCTATGAGGTATGTGAGATCACATAGCGTTGGTTTAGTTCACCCACGTGCCAAGCATGTTTAATTTAGCATATTTTCGTCCTAACAAGATTGAGAATTTGATGTTCTTGATAGTTGTTCTTGAATTGACTTCGTTCTTGAATATGAGTTGAGACTAAGGAGTTTCTTGATATTAAAGTGTTGTTTCCTTGAGTTGTTTGAGTTAGATGTTGTGTATAATCCTTGGGTATCAGATTCTAAAGTGAATTTGAGAAAAGGAATCAGAATTAATCGATTTAAGATCAGAAAATGAGACCAAAAGTTCGTCGGATTTTGCTGACGGGAAGGCTAGCACGACGCGCCCCCATAGTGCCAGGAAGACTAGGGCGGCGCGCCAGCAGTGTGCCATTTTGGAGCCCCAGTAAGTTAGGGCTGGCGCGGCGTGCCAGGGACACACCTGGATAGTCGTTTTCTACAAGTTTTTCATCATTTAGCCAATTTAAGTCTTTCTAAAGTGTACTAACACTTCCTATTGATTCTAACTACTCTGAATGACTTCTAAACATCTAGAAATCATCCAGAAACATGAATCATAACCTTGAATCCATAAATTCAAATTCAAGAAAAGTTAAGAGCCAAGTCTAGGAAGTTCTTAGATTCCTTTCAAGAGTCTTTTGCCAATGCTCTAAACTTTGTTTTAAGACTTAAAGTTCAAGTTGAGTGAAGAGTAAAGAGTAAAGATTGAAGTTCATTTATTCAAAGAATTATATGGGGACTATGTATTCCCAAAAAGTTTAAAATGTTTTCACATTTAAATAAGAACGGAAACCTTGATTTCCAAAGAGCCTTTGAGCTAGTTTACTTTGATTTTCAAGATAGGCTTTGAGCTAAGTTTTTGAGCAATTATCTCAAATCACAGAAAGAAGTATGTTTTTAAACATAAGAGTATTTTGGGAGTAGTATTGACCATCGATATGGGGGAGAGTTCAGAAAACTCACAACCCGTATAAACCATGTAGTCATCATGGGTAGAAAATGGTCATACTTTTTAGATTATCCTTTAGTTCTTTTTAGCATAGACTGGTGGATCCACTTAGTAGTTCAGGTTCTATACCCTCGGCAAGGTATAGGACGGCCCTGGCAGCGTGAGGAAAAATGATGTATCACCACAATAGCTCTTACGTGATGGTTGTCGATTAGAGAAACTCCCACATAAGTAATTCTATTCCTATGTACACCGTTTATTGTAGGTTTACATACATTTCAGAGTAATATGTATCTTTGCATACACACAAAGTTTACATCATATTTTAAACAACTTTTCTTTATATTGCACTTGATTTAAACTGCTTTATATTGAAATGAGTTCAGTTATGTTGAGTTGAGTTGAGCCAGGTAAGTTCTTCAGTTCCTTTCAAGCTTATGTCTTGTTTTAGAATTCCCCTTGCATACTCGTACATTCAATGTAGTGATGCCATTTGGCCTGCATCTATTATGATGCAGACACATGTAATCAGGATCATCGTTGTTGACATCCAATTTTGGCCCTCCACAATATGATTTGATCAACAAGCTTCTTAAATTTCAAACGATTTGAAATAATTGACTTTATAAAATTCAAAATGTTTTTTCAGGGTATTTTAAAGCTATTTCGTCACTTTTATAAATTTTAAATAATATATATGTTTCTATATAATTATGTATTTAATTATTAACTTTTATGAATATCCGAAAATCCTCCTAAAAAGATTTTAGTTTTGCTTAAATATTTGGTTAATTAGTTTAGTTAATTAATAGTTTATATTTTTTGAGTTAATTATTTTATAGTTAAGTTAATTATTTTATGTCGTTAACATTAAAAAGCTTGTTAATTAATTGATATTAATTCGTCTTATTTAAGTTTTAGCTGAATTCACTAATTAAACTCAATTTGGGTAATTTCTCAATTCATATTACAAATCTACCCCACTCTTTACCTCATTTTTTCAATCAACCCATATATTGGGCCTTTTTATCCCTTTCCAGCAGCCCAACATTTTCACACTAAATGACCTAGCCCAATTCTCAACTCAAATAGTGACCCACCATACAATTCCTACATATTCAACAATCGACCCAATTCTTCCATACAATATACACAACAATACGTGAGTGATTACACCTTCACGCGTCTTCTTCTTCCATCAACTAGTACACCTAAATCACAACGCTCCCACACATTTTTTTTTCTAGAAAGAATACACAAAACTCCCCTACGCGCCCCCATCCCACTTCTTTCTTTCTTCTTCTTCTTCAGTGAAAGCAACTCGAACCCAACCTTAAATCCTCGATTCAATGCCTCAATTTCCCCTATTCTCCTTCGACTCATATGGCTAAGCGTGCTTGGCACGAGCTTGAGAACACCTAGAGGATTCTAGGACGTTACCAAGGTTTTTGTCCCCTCAATTGTGATTTTGTTCAAAAAATGGTATGAATTCGTACACTAACCAGTTATCAATCTTATCTGCTAAGGAATTTTGGACTTTTGCATTATTCCCACATAGTTTTTCCCCTCAAATTTGACCCAGAAGCTGCCCTATAAATACCCTTCTTTTGCCACTGTTCAGGGACCATTTTTGTGAGCTGAAGAATTGAGAGCACCCCCGTAAAGGTTTTGGGAGCTCTTAGTTCGTAGTTTAAGATTTTATCTGCTTTCGACTGTCCCAGTCACATTTTGGTGGTAAAGTTCATTGCCTCCAAAACTCGAGTTCCAGTCGCTGCCCAGAACCAGGTAACCTTCGTGTCATCTTATTATTTTTGCCTAATTATATTTATGTTATGTAGAATTTTGTTTGTTCATGAGTTGCTTTAGTTTAGGAATTGTGTTCCTTGTCTTAGGATAATCTTCTTGATTTGTGTGTCTCGAGTAGCCTATTTTAGATTTGCTTTGATTTTAGCTCAACCTCTGGAAAATTGTTATTTTAAGGCATTTTGATCTAGGTATTATTTGTTTCTTACTTGATTATACAGACAAATCTTTTAATTATCGAATGTGGTGAGTTTATGTTCTTCACTGTTTAGATGATTGCATTTAGACATTGAATTCATATGCAGGCAATGTGAATGTACTATAGTTGTTTTATTTAGTTGAGTTCATATGAAGTATGTGTGTCTAGTTGCTTTAATCTATCATTAAGTAATTTCGCAATCCATGTGTGTGGCTGTTGATTTCTTTCTAATCGCCTTCCTTATTAGACATGTATAACTCGAAATGCAATTCATGTATCCTTATATATCAAGAATGTGATATGAAAATATCTTATTTAGTTACATTGATTTTAGAGTTTCTATCTTCGGTATTGGAAAAGTCCGTATGTGTTGTTGAAATGTCATCTCTGCCTGCCTATTTTGTAAAACCTATTAGTGTACTTTTGCCTGCTTAGATTCCTCATTATGTAGAGCCTTTGTCTGTCTTTGTTTAGATTTTGGATTATATAATAATTTAAAGTTTAGTCTTGTTCGAGTATGTTTTTGCAGATTGTAGCCCTACGGTAGTATACAACTTGATTTGCTGGTTTGATTCCTCTAAATTAGAGTTTAAGTTTGATTAAGGATAAATTCTCTTGTTTTAGTGAAAAGCACCAGTTTTAGTTATTTTGTCTACTTCTCTGCCTTCGTAATGATCTGTAGTTGGATCCCTTTTAGTATATTGGATTGGCTACATTTAACTATAACAATTACATGTTTTCTTAATCCTTTTGTTTAATGGTTTGTATTTCTAGTTTAGGATCAAATTTTGTCCTGTTGAAGTCATTTAAGTTGTTGATTAATGTTCAAGTTCCACATATTGCAAGAGCCCCTGCAACTTTCATCTTAGAGCATATTTTATACCATAGAAAGATTTTTCTTTTTTATTTTATATTTTTTTTTGTTACTGCTTTCCAGATCTTCTCAAAATCATTTATTTCATTGTTTGTCTTTAGAAGTATTTCTCCTCTGTTAAGGTTTGAGTTCTCTGGTTTATTCCTAAAGGTTTAAGCGTTTCTCATGTAGCGTATAACAACTGAATTTCATCTCTTTGTGTGCCAATATGTCATTCAAGGTTTCTGTCTAACTGCTTGGATTATTTCAGCTTGTTTAAGTTGTTGTTTGATGGTGAAATATTGTTTATTTTGTTGTGTTATCATTAGACTAATATTTATCCTTACCTTTTCTTCCTTTTTCATGAACAGTCTTTTCGAATGAGTCCAACTGACTCCCTCTCTTGCATTTTCTTCTTCTTTAAGTCGACCTCATCAAAGTCGTGAAAGGGAAGTTAATATCATCGGGTTAAACTTCAAATCACTGGCAGCAGCTCAATAGCAGTTACAACACTCCCAAAAGCTGAAAATTGCAAATTTTGGACTTAAAAGAGTCTCAATTAACCGAAGTAGTAGCAGCAGTTCCCAAAGGGGCAAAAATTGAGATTTCTTGGACTTTAACAAGTCCAATTTATACCGTAACACCAACAGTAACTAAGCAAGAAGCGAAAATTGGGTTAAAACCCGAAGTTGACAAAGTAGCAGATCGGCAATTCAGTCCCAAAAGGGACTTAGTATGGGTAAAAAATGTCTTGTCTATATTTTCTTACTATTGTCATTGATGCCAACTTTTGTTAATCTTTATTAATTTAGATGAATCCTTGGGGAGATTTTTTTTTTAATTTCAAGTTTTCAAATTTTATGAAACTAATTTTAAGTTAGTTAATTTAAGCTTATAGAATGACTGAAGAACCTTTCATGTTCTTTCATAGTTATTGAAAATATTTAAATCCATGTTTATGAGTTTGAACTAACTATTTAGTTCAAATTTTTGAATAGGATAAAATTGTTAAGGTTCTTAAAATAAATTAGTTATCTTTTAATTTAACTTAGAACTTTGTATGAATGACTTGAGGATTTTTTATATCCTTTCATAGTTATTAAAAAAGGTTCTTTACTCCATGTTTATGAGTTTGAATTAATTGTACGATTCAAAACTTGACTATGGATAAACGTTTTAAGTTAGGTTTATTCTTGAGAATTTTAGAAGTATCAAGAGATTTTTATCTATGTTTTCAACAAGATTTTTAGATAATTTAAGTTCTCTTTTAGAAATTAGCCAAGCTTTTTAATCTGCCGGTCAACCGTGTGTTAGCGGATTCTCTAAGATGTCTAAACCCTTTCTTAGAGAATTGATTGAACCCTTACCCGACTCTGGTTTAATTTAAAATATTTTCTTTCAAAAAACCCTTTTAAATGATTTTTCTTAATTTTTCCTAAAAATTAAGTGGCGATTTCCAAATTATAAATTTTTCCAAACCTTAACAAAATTGCCAAAGTTGCGAAATGACTTCGAAACCTTAGTTTTTGAAATCAGGTCGTAACAGAATGACGACTTCACTGGGGATTCATCTAGGTTCTAGCCAAAAGGATTTTATTGTTTGGCTAACTATTATTGTATTATTTGTTACCTTACGCAATTATGTGTTTAAATTTTGAATATTCATTGTCATTGCAATCATGGCAATTTCTAATGTATGTATAGTATATTAAGAATGGTTTTTGCATAATCGCAGCCGGACTTTTTATACTCAACCCTTTTCTGAAATGATCGGTAATTTATTGGTACGTCATGCGTCCAATGGTTGTTGTGAGTTCCAACCTAAGTTGTCCGCTTGGGTTCCCGGTCTTTCAAAAGCCACTCTTAGTCAACTAGCGTAGAGCGAAACCAAAACCCTCTTTTAGGTGCATTAACCTAAGATGACCCAATACCCAAGGTGTATTGGGCCCATTAGAAGACTGTGTCTAATTGATATACGGTCAATATAAGACGATCATCCAACTATTTGTTAAATTTGAAAGATATGTATGTCGATTTGTGGGTATATTGCCCCTTGGGATTGGGTTTTTATTTTTATAGGTAGTTTCTTTGTTGAAATCAAAAGAAGATCATCCTCATCCGGAAGAAATTCAAAAGCATCAAGAAGTTCGGGAATGAAGATTTCATATGGAAGCTTAGTTTAGTTTACCATTGTACCTCTGCGTGAGACTGATATTTATTTCCCTCTCCTCTATTATGTATCCCCATTTGTTTTATTCATAAGGTTTGTATAAATATTTTGGGGCAATAGAACGTTTTACAAACGATATACACATCCTTCAAACGTTAGGCTTACCTTTGGCTCAAAAGGTCACATGTATGTTAGGAGGCGTTATATATTGTTTGTGTGTTAAATGTTACAAATTTTGTTTCGTTTGTGCTTGCTTGACTTATGTGTTCTATACATATGTTTTGCTTTAAACGTAATTGGTCCATTATTCCATTCCAAAGGCTTAGAACGTCATTTAACATATAAACTCAATTTTCAAGCCTTCTAAAATACTCTTTGACTCCATTATCAAAATACGTTCAAAATCACTCAAGTTCTAGGTTCAATAGAGCTTAAAAAAATTATTAGGTTATCATTCAAATTCGCATTGACCTCGTTGTTTCTTGAAAATTATTTTCCACACCTACCTAGCCGGCGTTACTAAATATTCCGTCAGTTTCAAGTCTTAAGTCCTTATTTCTCGAAAGGGCTTTTCAATTGAACCTTCCAAACGGTATATTTGAATCTTTACTTAAATTATATAGTTTGCTTTGTTCAAATTCCTTTCTTTCGTTAAAATTTTAGTTTACATAATGATCAAAGTTTTCCCATTTGCTCACCCTTTTAGAGTCTTTTGTTCTTCGAATTTTGGACTAATTTGTTTTAAGCAAAACACATGTTATTTGTTTTATATGTTACTTTGGTTTATTATTATGATTAATGGACTAACTCTCTTATTTTTAAGTTGGTTTTAGAAGGAGAGACTGATTTGTGTTGGTAATCAAACTTGCTCACTTCACCAAAGTACCCGCTGGCAGAACATCCATATTTTACACGATCTAAGGTCAAGGAAATTTCTACAGACTCTTCGTTTCTTACTTGGACTACTAAGAGGACTCGGTCAAAAATGGATTCCACTATCAACACGGTTGCTTCGTCTGAAATGATCCCCACTTCATCTGTCGCGGCCAATCCTAGTGCCTCGGTAGCAATAGAATCACCCATGAAAGTCATTGCTCACCTAGAGCAACAAATTGGTGAACTAAATCTCCTGGTAACTCAATACTAAGTTGCTTCTCAGAACTTACTACCCGATGCTCGCCAAAAAGGGGCCATGCCACCTTCGTTTCCGACTTCAAGTGAGCTCAATCAAGGAGATCATTTTACCACCTTTTCAACTCAGGATACTTCTGTTCTGTACACATTTGCACCTCTAAAAGCTCCAATGGTAACATATCATGCTCCGCCAATGTACACTTATGTCACTGCTCCACCTGTTACCAAGGCTCAGGAGTTTCACCGCCAAGATGTCAATCACTATGTTGAAATTGAAAATGATGCAAAATCAATTGATGCTGAAATGATGAGTAGGAAGATGAAAAGCTTAGAAGATGCTATGAGGTCTTCATGGGTTCGATAGTAGACAGAGTGTGAGAGATGAAGAGTTGTGCACATTCCCCGAAGTTGAGCTTCCACCCGGTTACAAGATTCCAAAGTTTGAGAAGTTTAGTGGATCAGGAAATCCTTTCTTTCACTTGAAAATTTACTGTGAAAAATTGATTGGTGTTGGAAACAACGAAGGGATAAGAATCAAGCTGTTCAATCAAAGTCTGACTGGAAAAGCCTTGGAGTGGTATTCAAATCAAGATGTGACTAAATGGCGTACTTGGGATGATCTAGCAAATGATTTTGTGGATCACTACAAGTTTCATGTTGAAATCGCTCCTGACAAAATCTCTATTACCAAGTTAAAACCAAAGTCGACTGAATGTTTTTGAGAATATGCCATTCGTTAGAGAGAAGAAGATGCTAGGGTGCATCCACCTATGGAGGAATCAGAAATGATCACCTACTTTATTCAAGCTCAAGACTCAGAATACTATGAGCGAATGGTGACAATGGGTGGAAAATCATTTGTTGAAGTTATCAAGGCTGGAGAAATGATTGAAGACGGTCTCAAGACTGGCCGAATAGCGAGTTACACCTCATCTCAATTTGCTAACAGGGCCTATCAAACTAGTTCCTTTGGAAAGAAAAAGGAGAAAGAGGTTATGATGTTAACGACTCGAGGAGCTACCTCATATAACCGTCAACCACCTCCAAGCTATCCTGATTCACGATACTATGTTTGCAACAATCAAGCAACATTTCGTTCTCCACAACCAATGCAAAATTATCAAAACAATGCACCCCGTCTCAATTTTGAGAAAAATCCTCCTCGAGTCTTCACTCCATTGTGTGAGACACGAACTCAACTTTTTGAGAGATTGAAAGAGGAAGGGATACTCCATCTAGTGGAAGCCAAGACTGTGAATACTTAAGCCGAGTGGTATAACCCAAACAAGCGGTGTGCTTATTATTCAGGAGTTATTGGACATGATACCGAGAAATGTATCACTCTCAAACACAAAATTCAAGATCTAATTGACAACGAGGTGGTAAAACTTGCTCAAGCTCCACCGAATGTGAACACCAATCCACTACCCAAGCACAAGTAGTCATTGGCGTAACCAGTTGCTAAGAAAGAGCAAGTTTTTCTGAAAGTCACACTTTTGTCGTCTTTTAGTCCTGCATTTGGAGTTTGTTGTTTTATTTTCATGTAATCGCATTTTTTTTCGCTTTGTTTCCTTTGTAATCATTTGTTGGGATTTTATTTATAAGCATCTTTCATCTGTAATGACCTACGTCTGACCTGAATTCTCAAGAATGAGATACGTAGGCGGCCTATGTCAGCTTCGGTCACCCTTTTATCCCTTTTGAACATTTCCTTGTACATGAACTACGTTCGGCCTGAATTCTCAAGAATGAGATACGTAGGCGGCCTATGTCGGCCTCGTCGTTTCCTTAGTCAAATTTTTTTTCTCTCGTTAATCCTCAAAAGTGGAACTACGTTCGACCTGATTCCTGCTCGGTGGGATACGTAGTTGCCACACCGGCTCGGTCATATTCCCCGTAAGTTTTCCATGTCCCTTTATAATGAAAATTAGGGCAGAATTTTGAGAGGATTTCAAAATTCGTCAGAAGAGGAATGTTTTCAACAAGTTAGAATCAAGGATCACTTCAGAGTTGCAACTGGGGCAGAGGAAACTCAAAAATTCAACTAAAAACTACAGAAAGTTCAAAGTTATATTATGTTTTAAACTGGGGCAGAATTTTTGATGGAGGTCTTCAAAAATTCCACCAAGCGACATTTCAAAACCAGATAAGCTTGTAATCCAGAAGGCAAAGGAGCATCAGGATGGCAAGGCAAAGCCAACATGAATCAGTCTCTCAAAACTAAGAAATTTTCTTTGGATGCAGGAACTACAAAGTTGCAAGGCATCATTAGACCTACAATGGTCTCGTCATAATTCAGATGATTTCTACTCTTACTCATCTTCTAAATTTTTTCCTTTCACTTTATTGTGGCTTACACATTCTCAATTCTACAGATGGAATAGCTTGGCACAATGGCAAAGACCATAAGACATTATCCAGACCAACATAAGCTGAACAACTTTATTTGAAAACTTTCTTTTACTTTGCCCAGACATTCACCAGACAAAGGACACACGATAGTCCTTATCCACAGATGTTATT